CCCCGCCCGGAGGCGCCCGGGCGGGACCCCGCGGGCTCGTGGCGGGGAAGTGCCCGGGGGGGCTGGAGGGCTGGGCGGCTTGGCGCGCTGTCACGGCACCGAGTGACAGCACCCGACGGATGAGCTCGGGTAAGGCAGAAATCACCGACGAGTGGGTGTGCGCACGTGCAGAACCGGTGACCTGGAACCGGGTGACCGCTTGAAACTTGTTTTTGAACCGAAATAGCCACGATGCCCAAATGAACTTTGCTCCCTCCCCTCCCCGTGACGGGCCTAGGTTGGCACCAGCGTGCTCGGGTCTGCACGCCCAGAACTGCGGGGCACGAGAGATCCGTGCAGCCCAGGGCCCAGCACACGGGCCAGCAGCGTCCAAGTTGCTCTCAATCTGGGCTGGGGTGCCCAGGGGTGCCCAGGACCTCCTCCTTAAAAGTGCTTGGGCCATCAACCTGAAACCGGTCAGGCAGGTTGGCCTCCACCGGTCCCTGGCGGGGTGGTCCTGTGGGACTCTAGACCTCAGTTTCCCCATCTGTCCAGGAAAGGAGTTGTTTGCCCTTGCCCGGTAGGTTTAGGACACATGATGTGTTGTGTCCTTGGGTCACAGTGATGGCCTTTGGGCCACAGGCCTCACCTGGTCTCTCACAACCTGTGGACATGGCCCCAGAGGTGTTGCCAACTCTTCCTCCATGCCTGCCCCTCTAAGACCTTCTCAGGCCTCCTAGCCTGAGTAGATGAGTAGATGCTCACAGGTGAGCTCACCTGTGAGCATCTACCTCCAGCGGGTGCCCATGGATGCGGCTGTGGGAGGAGCAAAGATGTGAGATTGTGTATTTCTGCTCAGCCTCGGCTTCTTTGTTCTACTGCATCTCTTTCTTTTTTTAAGAATTATTTCACTTTATTTATTTATTTACGTTTGACCAGAGAGGGAGAGAGAGAACGTGAGAAAGCAAGTTGCCAGGTCCGGGACTCAAACTGCAGTCAGCCATGTGGGGAGTCCAGTGCCCTTAACTACCATGCCACCTGCCGGTCCCCTACATCTTTATTAGATCTCCAGATGAGAGGCCTGTTACCATGACACACCCAACTTGCCAGGAGGTCTCTAGACCAGACCGCTCGCGTCCCTAGAGTGCTGGGCCCCAGCTGGTGATGTGTGGACCGTCGGTGTCGAAGCTGAGGGGAGCTCTGCACCCACTCAGACAGATTCCTTCCAGGTGAAAGTGGTTGCTGTGGATGCAGAGTGGAACGTCTTCTACGAGGACAGTGTGCATTTTGACAGAGACCTTCCGGAATTCGGGTATGTACCTGGGAACATGTGTACATGGGTGTGTCGGGGCGGGGTGCTCTTTCTCCAGTGTTTTACAGTCACAGACCACGCTGTTCTAGACACCCCATGCTGTCGGGGTGATGGTCCTCATAGACGTCTCAGCCATCTTTCTTCTGTACTGAGAATGCTCCTCCCCACATTTCTTCCCAATTAGTTCATTCATTCTTACATCGATCTGTGTCCGTTGAGGTCTCCTTTGTGCCGGGCTCCTGGGTAGGAGATTTGATGGTGGATCCAAAAGCCACATAACAAAAATGCCACAGACCTGCTGGTCTCTTCACTGTGCCGTTTTATTAAAAGGTGTAATGCTGGGTCAGCAGGTGATGGGGTGGTTAAGGTAACTGGATCTCACATGACTGGCTGCACAGTTCAAATCCCAGACCCAGCAGCTTGAAAATCATGCCTGACAGGTGCACACGCATGTCCCAAAATCCTGAAAGGAGAATGGAGGAGAAGGGACTGTGGCATGGGCATCCCCATAGGGGGTGATTTCTCACTTTCCCTTTCTCTCTTTCTTTTTGTCTCTCTTCAGAAAACGCACATGCCTTGGGACCAGCAGTTAGTGTAATGGCTATGTCGCTGGACTCCCATGTAGTCGACCGTGGTTCGAGTCCCGGACCCGGTGGCTTAAACTCACGCCGGGTGCATGTGCGTGCATGTCCAAGATCCCGAGAGGAGAATGGAGAAGGGATTGCGGCATGGCCATCCTCCCTGGGGGGTGATTTCTCTCCTTCTGTCTCTCTGTCTCTCTCTGTCTGTCTGGCGAACGCACGCGCCCTATAGCAAAAAAAAAAAAAGAAAAGAAAATGCACATGCCTTATAGCAAAACTGAAAAAAAAAAAGGTGTAATTCTGTGCGTTTTGGTAAAGGCAGATCTGTGCCTGGAGAAAGCACCACCACACTGAGGATACAGAGGCCCCAGGGATTCCTCGGGCTCTTTATTCTCTTCCTCCTTCCAAATGGGCAGAGACAACCGCTGCTCTGCCTCTTTTTTTAAAAAGAGGTGCTTGCTATAGGACACATGTGCTTGCCAGAGAGACAGAGAGTGAGAAATCACCCCTTCGGGGGATGACCATGCCACGTCCTTTCTCCAGTCTCCTCTTGGGATTTTGGACATGCACGCACACAGGCCCGGCGTGAGTTTCAAGGAGCCAAGTCTGGGACTCGAACTGCGGTTGACTATGTGAGAGTCCAGTGATGTAACCATTATGCCGTCTGCTGGTCCTACCGCTGCTCTGCGTCTTTCCTCGGATGAATTGGCAACTCCTGGTTTGCTTGGGGTATGTAACATGCACTCTGTGTAGCGTCCTTCACTCAGCAAAGTCGTTTGAGACTGACCCGTGTTTGTGTGTGCGTCCGTAGTTGGTATTTTTGGTTGCTCTGTAGAACTTCACGAAGTACCCGTTTGTCTGCTTCGGGACTCCTGGGCTGACTCCAGCGTGTCAGTGCACAGAAGGCTGCTGGGAGCTTTTGTGAACAAATCTGTCTGTGGGCTCGCACTTTTATTTCTCTTGACCAGATGCTTGGGAATAAAATAGCCGAATCTCAGAATTATCTGAAAGTCTCTTGGTATGAATTCTGAACCTGGATTCTTTATATTTTTTTGTTCAATGCACAGTTGAAAGAGTTGAATTTCATCAAAGCAGTTCTTTGCGTGAGCGTCTTATGGGGTGAGGAAGGCGGGGAGAGGGTTCCAGGTTACCTTCCAGGGCATGTAGATTAGGACTGTCTTGCTGTAGCTAAGAACTTCTTGCAAACCTAGCCCTTCAGTAGCTATCCCTCCCCCACCACTCCAAACCCATTGGGTTTCTGATGGCTTTTTTTCCCCCTTTAATTGCCAGAGAGCATATGAACTCACCAAAGAGAGAGACAGAGAGAGAGAGAGAGAGAGAGAAGGAAAAAGCACCCCTCCATGGGGTGTGGTCATGCTGCAATCCCTTCTCCATTTCTCCATCCTGTCAGGATTTGGGGACCCATGTCCCCAGTGGGGATGGCCGCGCCGCAATCCCTTCTCCTCCATTCTCTTTTCGGGATCTTGGGCACGCACGCACACGCGCCCAGCGTGAGTTTAAGCCACCGGGTCCAGGACTCGAACTGCGGTCGACTACGTGGGAGTCCAGTGACGTAGCCATTACTGCTGGTCCCTAAGAGGCTTATTTAGAAGGTGCTTTCTGAGAATCGCTACCTCTGGGCGATTTGCTCGCCTTCTCCCGTCTTCCCATCTGAGTAGCACTGTCAATCTACAGTTCCCACTTGAGACTGGGGGGGTCGTCCAGCAGCTGGAGGGGCCTGAGGCCCTCTGCCGCCAGCCCCTGCTTTGCCACACTCTGTCATAGGTTGTCTCTTGTTCTTGCAGAACTCGGGGCGGTGTTCACGTGCACCAGGATGGGCTGATGGTCACTTCTCCTGTCCTGATGTGGGTCCAGGTAAGCGTGGGATCCCCTCCTCTGTCCCCAGCCCGTCTCACCAGCAGGTTCAGGGATTTGCTAAGAATCCCAGAGGTGGGAGCACCGGTGCAGGCCAGGTACCTGTGGAGGTAGGGCCCACCTGGGCGCTGGGGCCGGGCTCAGCCTCAGCTGGCATCATCTCCCAGGCTGAGAGGACCCTAGAGGGCTTCTCGCTGGTGTATGACCCAGCACGCCCGCCAGTACCATCTTCCTCCAGCTGCCAAGGGGCATACGTGCTACCCAGAGGGACAGAGAGGGAGAGAGAGAAAACACCCCCTTATAGGAAATGGTCACGCCAAAGTCCTTTTCCTGCTTTCCTTCATCCTGTCAGGATTTGGGGCACGCACACAGTCATGGCCAGTGTGTTTTTCTAAGAGAGATTTTTGCTATAGGGCATGTGTGCTTGCTGGAAGGACAGAGAGACAGAAAGTGAGAAATCATTCTTGGGAGGATGGCCATGCTGCATTCCCTTTTCCATTCTCCTCTCTGGATTTTGGGCATGTGTACACACGTGCCCGATGTGAGTTTTAAGCTGCTAGGTCCAAGATGCAAACTTCAGTTGACTATGTGGGAGTCCAGTGACGTAACCATTACACCGTCTGCTAGTTTCAAGCTCCAACAGCCCTAACCACTAGGCCATTGACTGGCCAGTGCCAGTACCATCTTCAAAATGCCACCAAGCAAGTCCTACCAGGCATTCTACAGTCAGGCCCTGTGGCCTCCCTGTGACCTACCCTGAATTTCAAATACAGCCCTAGGGTCTCAGTGCTCAGCCCCAGCCCCACAGCTCCCCTGGAAAGGGGCACTCAGAATGGCCTGACCAGCCAGGCTCAGATCAGCTCCAGGCCAGGCCTACCTGCTCAGGACCCACAGGAAGGGAAAAAGCTTATGCTCAAATCTGGTGACCACAGGGCCACAGGACCAGGGATGTGGACAACATGGACAGGCATGGTGAGCCAGGGACTATCTCTTAGGCCACAGAGACCAGAGTCCTTAAGACTGGAGGCCAGCTAAAGGCAGTACTTAGTGCATTTGCCTAATATTCTTTTCAGTTCTCCAGTAGCTGTTTAACTAATTCCCTGCAGTAAATTCTTTCTGAGATAACTATCAATAGTATGATTTCTTTTTTATCAGTCTGATCCTGACTCATACTAGAGAACTAGGGTATAAGATAGATTTCAGCCAGACAGGCTGCCTAGGATGTACTTTATTTATTTTTAAAAAAGTTATTTTATTTAACTTTATTTATTTATTTGACCAGAGAGAGAGAGAGAGAGAGAAGGTGGGAAAGTAAGCCACCAGGTCCGGGACTCAAACCTTGTTTGGCCATGTGGGAGTCCAGCACTTTAAACCACCATGCAATGGGGGTGTGTGTGTGTTTTTGTTTGTTTGTTTTGAGTTTTTGCTGTAGGGCATGTGT